TTTTTGCGTAGAAACTAATTATATTTAATTATACTTTTCTTTCTAATTTTTGTAACTTTAATTAGAGTTTTAGGTTTTTCTATATCTTTCAATTTTGAATGAAAATATTTTGAGTTCTTATGTATGTATCTCACATAACTCAAAAATGGTTAGTGGTAAAACGCAGAAATTTTGTATATGGAATTGCTATAACATCTTGTCGTGCATCTCTCTTTTGTACACATTGACTCCCATACGACGAAAATCAACAGCACATTAAATATATATATATATATATATGCGATATTGCTGCAAGGAATATAATTTAAATTTAAACAAACATGTAAATACGTAAAAAAGTAAATTTAAAGTTAAAATAATTAAAAAAATGTGTAAACATATAAAAGATTTAATTTTCGAACTAATCACAATATCATTTAAATTCAGATGGCATAAGTAAATCAAGTGCAAAACCAAACCATGAAAATAAATTCACCAATTTAGCAAATTAAAATTAATCTAATTTTTTTTTTTTTTTAAATGCATAAGTGAATTATTGTTGAGCAGGCAGGAGACAGACTTATCGAAGGGAAGTTGCCTCCAAACCTAACTCTTCAATCATTCAATTCGTGTTTCGTCATTCATGCAGGCAAGGGTAAATGTCAAAACCAAAAGTAAATACATAGTGAAGAGTGTTTGAAAAGAAATACCATTAAAGTGGTACTTTGAGAAATTAGCAATTAAAAATTAAAGTTTAAAAGGAAAATTACCAATAAAGAAGTATTTTGAAAAAAAAAACAATGTAAAGTCTAGTATTAAATTAATTTTTTTTTAAATTAAAATTTCCGGAAAAATTTAGAAACCAATGAATTTTAGAAACTAAAGGGGAGGTTTCTGTAGACAAGGGTTTCTAAAATGCATTGGTTTCTAAATTTTTCCGGAAATTTTAATTTTTTAAAAAATTTAATTTAATACTAGACTTTACATTGCTTTTTTCTCAAAATACTTTATTATTGGTAATTTTCCTTTTAAGCTAATTTCTCAAGGTACCACTTTATTGGTATTTTTTTAACATTCTTCACTATGTATTTACTTTTGGTTTTGACATTTACCCTTACCTTCATGAATGACGAAACACGAATTGAATGATTGAAGAGTTAGGTTTGGGAGCCACTTCCCCTTGATAAGTCTGTCTCCTGCCTGCTCAACAATCATTCACTTATGCATTAAAAAAAATAGCTTAATTTTGATTTACTAAATTGGTAAATTTATTTTCATGGTTTGGTTTTGCACTTGATTTACTTATGCTATCTGAATTTAAATGATATTGTAGATTAGTTCGAAAATTAAATCTTTTATATGTTTACAAATTTTTTTAATTATTTTAACTTTAAGTTTGCTGTTTTACGTATTTACATGTTTGTTCAAATTCATATATATATATATATATATATAAAGTATTTTATTATTTTACTTACCTTTTCAATTCATTGAGTAGAGTTCTCTTTATTTTAAGGCAAAAATTTTAATTAAAATGTACTTTGTTTTTTCCTTGATTTGAATATGGGCTTAAAATACATTGAAACAGTTCATTGGCTAATTCTGGATACAGAAAAGCAGTGATTTTTGTGGAAGGGAGATTTCAATTGATTTCACTGTTCCTCCTCCTGAGGAAGTGGCTTTGAAACTGATTGAATTTCTCTTCTATTATGTGGTTTTTTCTTTAAATTTCATTAATTTTTTGAATTGGTGTATTGCTTGTTTGAAGTGTTTTGGTTTAAACATTTGTTAAATATATATATATATATATATATATAAATTGATTCTAAATTTCTTACATTATGTTTGTGTATATATATATATTATATATAAGAAACATAATAATAGGCTAAAAAAATAAAAATAAAAAACAAAATTTTTTAAAGCCCGTCCATATTTATATTTGGAAAAGTTTTATATTCGTTATGAACAACAAAATTATAAAAAAAGTTTGACTCCCATACTACGAAAATTAACCGCGGTAGTTAATTTTAAAATTTGCAATTTTTGATGTAATTTTTAACTTGCCTTGAAGGATCGGTTAATTAAGTTATCAAAGAAACAAGTTTAAATTAAATGCAGCAAAAATTGTGTATAATTTAATAGGCCATACAAGGAAGTCGTGAGATAGATGCATCAGATGTTTTCATAGCTCTTTTCACTTTTTTCGAGAGACGACGCCAGTAGATTTTTCCTTTCCTAAACTGCAGTTTTCTCAAATTTTCGGTCTATTGTTAGCGAGCGAACGCATGCTTCTCCTTCATTCTTTTTTGCCTTTGAAGAAATTCTGTTCGGACTTTGAAAACTAGTCCTCCAAATTTATGCGGCTTATGCGGATATATTCCCTTAATATTTTCAACATTGAGTTTGGAATATTTGTTTTTTATGTTCCAAATGAATTGTTTTCTGTGCGTTCTTTATCGTTTGAAGATATCGTTTGAAGATATCGTTTGAAGAAAAGTTCGTTGCAGAAGAATAGACAAGTTTAGGCAGAACGAATGCGTAAAGGATGGGTAAACCCTACGCATTATCTTTAACGACTACTCTAACGGTATCCGACTACGTTCGGAGCACTTTTTTTCAAAAAAGCAGTATAAGTATACTATAAACACATTTTCTCATTTATTATCTACAGAGACTAATTATGCAATATCAAAATTTAATATATTGTATTATTATCCTGCAAAAAAATATTAAATTTTAAAACAATTTGAAACATTCTACATGACAAAATATTAAAGTTATATTAGAAACGTCATAGAATAATAAATTACATGCTTTTATCTAGAGAATGACATAGGGTTTTAAGAATATCTTAAATAGTAAAAAAATTCAGAATTTTGAAATATTTATATGAGATTTTCGATAAATTCGTGATGTCATTATTTAAATAACAAGCTGCAATTTCAAAAATATTTAACATATAAATATTCTGGTATGTCATTGAGAAAAATGCATTTAAAGTGTAAAATGCTCTTTATTTTCATTATTAAATCTTGACCCAGATACCTAAAACACCCTATATCTATAGGTTATACCTTCCTTTTGTTCAACTTTCTGTTTTTCTGTTTATATTCAGCCTATTTGTTTTTGTGGCAATTTTTACTCTGAGTAGTGAGTGATATTTTGATTTACTTATTCGCTCCATGTCGAGCTTACTAAATCTCTCGACTGCATATTCACCATGTTGCATATCTATATAACTTAAAATATCTAGTAATCCTAAAAGCCCTCTGTTAAAGTGTATAACAGCTATATATGCCCCCAATTTAAGAGTTTGTAATTCCATAATGGCAACTATCGGTATAAATTTCCAAAAAATGTCATTAAAATTTTGTTTGCATTTTGTGTCTTTCTTTATAAGCACTTTTATAAGAGCTTCTACTCACATAGTTTTATATACACTCTGAAGAATAATAATTACATTCTTTGGGCCAGTCCTTTGGATTTGTTTGTGTACACTCTTCTAACTGCTACAGGTCGCTGATATTTACAAAAAAAATGTCTGGTCTATCTGGGCACAGGTAGATTTGCACTAGAGAAAGTGTGAAAAAAATGGAGCAGTTACAGCACTTTCCATTCATTGTTCCTGAGTTAACCCCATTTTGAAGTTTGTCAATAAAGACATCATTAGGGAGCGACGTTAATCTCTCCATCAAGATACTTTTGTTTTCCCTTAAATTTTCTAACTCTGGAACGAGGCTTCTGAATATGACTTACGCGTTCATATTTGTTGACACTACTTAAATATAAATATCTTTTACGTCAGAAATAACTTTCAAAAACATCTGCGGATGAGAAGCATTTTAATTTTGGTTTGCTCGATGGGAATTGCTTTATTAATATTATTTATTCTCTATTCCCTTCGCAACACGTTTCTTACGCATTTTCGTTTACAAACACTGCTTCGATTTTTTTTTATTCACCCTTTATTATACTTTTAACTCGAATGTTATTAAAAATAATCAAAAACTAAGATAAATCTAATTGCAGTATGCAATGTGTTGAATCAAATCAAAATCATATGCTAGCGAGGATATAACGCTTTCAACAGGTAATTAATAAAATATTGCATTTTATTGGAAATAATTTCATGCTCCTTCACAGATTAAAGATAAGATTCTATTAATTCCCTCTCTTTAAAAATCTTTACATTACATTTCAAAGATAAATAATTTGTTATGTCCATTTCTAGCTCTTTTCGACTCTTTAATGCGCACTTTCGGTGATTTAAATGTCCATTTCCGGTTTTGGCGTCTTTATGAAATCCTTAATATCTCGGTTTCTAATTAACGTAGAAACAAAAGCAGTCCAGTTTTGAAAAGTTAAATAAACACTCTATTCCATGAACGAATAAAAGAAAATTGCCATTTTTTGCCAAAATTGGCCTTTTCAACATGTTCGGATACCTTAATGAATAATTTGATTTATATGGAAAAAAATTGTTTTTGCTGAATTTAATTATATCCTTCATCCTCACTAAGGAAGTCTGTTGATGGTAACTAGTAAATTACAAATTTTAGCAGTTAATTTCTACTAAAGTGTAGCACTTTTCTAAGACTTCATATCTGAAAATTTGATCTCTTGAAATAATGCTTCTGACTCGCGCATTCGAACTGCAAGAAGCAATTTTTGTTTTCATTTTTGTTCAAGAAGTTTCTGAAAGCAATAAACCATGAAAATTTAATATTTTATTTTATCACCATACATGTTGCATTTGATTTAGATACTAGATTACAATTTGAGGACAAAGGTGTAACAATTATTTTAGGTTGAAAGCCATAAACGTGAAATAAATATTACTGTTTTTTAAAGACTGTGGTGTTAAAAGAATTATGCTTTAAGTTTAATTGATTCTTTTTAAAGATGTGATTTGTTGTTATTGTTGTTTCTTTCACACTCGTTTTAATCACTTTTTTAATATTTCTATTGTAAATATATCAACTACAACATTTTTTATTCTTTCTTTTCAGATAACAGCGATTTCAACTTCCACCGGGACACTCTTCCACTCAACATAATATCGTCTACAGATGAAATGCAAATTCGCGATATTAGCAACAACAGAATAGAAAAATGCACTGAAATGCAGCTGATAAATAGCAGATTACTGAACAGAATTAAAGTTTCTTCAGGCATTCTGAGTAATTCTCAAATTTTATAGACGATTGTAACTTATAGGATGAATCCCTAATGACCATTCTTCGACAGTTATGCTGACTTCACATTACTACAATCAGCACAACCCCAATAATTGTGGGGATTGCGTGAGTCATTTTGAAATTAGGCTTTTGAGTGATTGGACCTACCTAATATTTATCAGCGGAGATGCTGGCTGATGGTTATAAGCATATCCTTGGATGGAACCCTGGGCTTTCTTGAAAGCAACTAGATGTTTTTTACCAATATACACATTCTGTGTTTAATAACTTATTATTTTTCAATTCCTTGTCACTTTAATTCTTTGAGGCTTACTTCATTTCTCAGTGTTGTGTTATTGCATGCCATGGAAAACATCGTTTAGAGATACTTCTAGTACATATTTAGCTATCGATATCTCCTTCATTCGGCCTGAAAGGATGGCAAGAAACGTATTCTGGCTCAGTCTTTACTTATAGATTTCAAACTTTCTCAGGGTAAATGAACAAAAACCTACATCCTAGTCATCTGAACTCTAAGTTTATAATTGAGAAACAACCACTGATCTGAGCTTGTTCCGAATTATGATAAGCACTGCAGAGAATGTAACGCTCAAACTTGCCATGTCGACGACTACTTTTCCATCAAGTGTTGTGCAAGACATTCCATCATTTTCCATTACGACTTGTCCTTCATGGTTTAGACAAGAAATTGTTGATAATGCCAAAAACATCTCAATCATAGTCATATTAGGATTCATTAATGCTGTTGTCATTGTTGGTAATTTACTTGTTGTTATGGCTGTTTTTGCCTCCGCAAAGTTGCGGACGGTCACCAATTTCCTTATTGTATCTTTAGCCATATCCGATCTCCTCGTTGGTTTGGCTGTCCTACCATACTCGATCACTCTTGAAGTGCTCGAACTGTGGATATTCGGCGAACTATGGTGCCAAATGTGGTTAGCTGTGGACGTGTGGCTGTGCACAGCTTCCATCCTAAATCTGTGTGCCATTAGTATTGATAGATATTTAGCTATCACTAGACCTGTTCATTATCGAACTATCATGTCAAACCTAAGAGTGAAATTGCTCATAGCGGTCGTTTGGGTCTTGTCATTCATAATTTGCTTCCCCCCTTTAGTGGGTTGGAATGACCGGGTGAAGGACGGAGAAGATGTGACTTCGTACAATAACGTTACTCTTTATAACGACATGCACAGATTGCATCCTCTCAGTGAGTATTTTCTTGAGAGTAGAAATAATGATGAGTATTTATTTGGGAACATGACGTCAAACTATACAGATGATACTAATGGGTATAACGCTAGTAGTGTCATTGATGAAATTAGGTTTGTATTACGTAATGCGACGTCTAGGAGATGCCCGAAGCCACAGTGTGCTCTCATAACTAACCAAGGTTACGTTATCTATTCTGCGCTAGGCTCGTTTTACATCCCAATGCTAGTCATGTTGTTCTTTTACTACCGGATTTATGTTGTTGCATTAAAGACGAGTCGTGCCTTAGACAGAGGCTTTCGTACGGCAAAAGCAAGTAAAAATAAGTCATCATCCACATCGTCACAGGATGGAGGTGGCAATTCTGACGTCACGTTGCGTATCCATCGTGGTCGGCCAACAAATGAGTCGATGGTAGCAGCACGCTCTGGAGGAGCAGGTAATGCGGCCAACAGGAGATCAGGAGATATATTGGTTCCCCGTCGTATACCTACTGTAGTCTATCATCATACCAAAGAATACTCCAGTCCCCGCTGCTTTAGAGAAGATAATACCAAGCATTACTACACCACCAAAGCTGCTACGACAAGCGATTCTTTGTCTGTACACCACAGTAGGGTGAGAAGAACTAAATCAGCAAATGCGGCAACTGCAAATCTGAGTTTCGATAATGGTGGATCATCTTCTCGTATGGCTGAACATGCGCAGTCTTCAGAACACTTGTCAGTTGATAGCGGAAGCAGTGAACAAAAAAATGGCAAACCTGGTCGCCATCTTTTTACTAGAATTAGCAAGAGGAATGCCAGATGGCATGCTAAACGTTTCCGAACGGAAGCCAAAGCTACCAAGACTGTGGGCATTATCGTAGGTGGATTTATTATGTGCTGGCTTCCCTTTTTCACGGTGTACCTCATCATGGCTTTCTGTGAAGATTGCATACCTGATCTATTGTTCAAAGTGTTTTTCTATTTAGGGTACTGTAATTCAGCACTGAATCCAGTCATTTACGGGATGGTCAGTAAAGACTTCAGGTTTGCGTTCAAGAAAATATTGTGCCGTTGCAAACTCAAGGACGACGGTGTGACGTCACTGATACGTCAAATACATATGCCGACGTTCTTCGAGGAAGAAGCGCTCACTGTCGGCGATACCATTAGCCAAAGTTAATCCATCTTTCCACTTTTCAATAGATTTGAAGAATCCATTCTACTTATATACTTTGGAAAGTTAGGAAGGATCTATATCGCGACATTATTTTAAGAAAATTCAGAACCTTTAATATAAAGAACATAATCAAAGTAAAGTTTTGTTTCTCTCTAAAACAGTGAAGGCCAAAACATAATTTTAATTTAACCACATACGGAGGATAATTATCTAGAAATATTTTAAAGAGATATTAAATTTCTCATGAGGGATATGACAGCAACTGTCCAGTTCGTTAACTATATTCAGTGAGGGTTCGTAAGATTTTTTATCCATTTTGGAGGTCATAAAATCTATTGGGTAAATCAGATGTTCCAAACCTCGTGTGAGATGGAATATTAGACTCATTACTTATCAATCTACCAGCATCCATGAGAAAAGGAGCATGAGCCAAATGTATCATAAAGCAGATGAAACTTAGTCTGGGCTAAAGCATGAAAGAAAGGGACAGATGCTGTCGCCTTTTGTAATTGTTGCGTATATATTAGGTGTATTGCGTGTATTACTATTTACTGTGCATGCATTGGAAATAAAATTAATTTTGATAGCTCTCATGGGAAACTAATATGTTTAACATAAATTAGCTAAATAAAGCACTGCATCAGGTATAATCTAAAGCAGTATTTAACTTTAAATGCATAAATACTTTATGAATTCATATTCAGATATTCATTCGAATGATATTATGAATTCTTCATCATTATATCAGAATGGATTCTGTCAAAATCGATGAGCACTTGTTAAGGGAGGTGATTATCATTATTACTTCCATAATTTTCAGAATAAAATGAAACATTTACATTCAATAAAAGATAACTACTAAAAACGTCCTCTCTTTTATTGGTACATCATTATAACATCGAACATTCTGCATAATATTTTTGAAAAATACTTGCAGAAATTTCAGGCATTTTAGTAAAATTCTTTATAATTTATTTAGTAAAATTCTTTATAATTTTAAGCAAATATATTTGTGTAATAGATTCATATAAGAGTCCCTTTTTATAGAAAAAAGCATTTTTCTTAGCACTAAATGAGCTGATATATCGCCATATGTTTCATTCGTTTAGAATGAGTAATAATCGCACAATAATTTTATATAATCACACTTTTGAATAAAGAATTTTACAAATTGAAGTGTAGTCTCACAGAATTTGTAGCGTTAAATTCCTAAAACACAATTAAATCTGCCTGCAAAAATTCCCAATAGTTTTTCTTATTATTTATTCAAATCGCCTTCAACTAACAAGTGCAAAATGTGTTTTTAACTATTTCTGTTGTCATAATGTGTTTACGTTTGCATGATACGTTTCTTGTAATCATGTATTGGCAAAGTGTACTTGTGTCATGCATGTGTATTTGTATAAAGCATATTTGCGTATGGATGTACAATTGTAAAATATGTGATTCAAATCTATTCCATGTTATACTGCGACTGCGAGGTGAGTCAAAAATAAGTTATATTTGTATTCATTGACCGTGGATAGTGCTACCATAAATGCGAACGTGCATGCGTGATTCGAATTTATACGAGTATATTCACGATGAAGGATGACCTTGCGTGGTTCCATGCCGGAGGGATGCTTTTATATTGTTAATGTTTCCTAACTACATTCAAGAAACCTGGTATCATAGCAATCACAGTGAATGGATACCTTGAAGAAAAACTACAGAAACTGAAAATTTCGTCTTAATATGAGCATTCCAGGTTTCCTCTGAACTACTTATTTTCCTAGCATATATTTCTTGGGGATGGTTCTGAATGTTTTGGCTACCTGCCAAACTAAAGTAATACTACCGGTGGTTTCAGAGTAAATGCATTTGAGTTGATACTGCCTTGTGTAATACATAACACATAGTACAGTCTTCATACCTGCGCGGTATGTTTACTGTGGTAATTTTCAAGCAAACATTTAATCTTCACTACCAAGTAAAAAATATCACAAGGAAATCATATGGAATCTTTATGCACTGGAGCTAGCTGTCAGCTGAACCTTTACGTGCCACTTAGCTTCAATATTCACGATTTCACAAAATTCAAAACAAAATTTAGTTTTCGTACAGTTAGTTTTATAAAACATTTTTCTTTCCATAATAAAAAACTTGAAATAAATTATCTTCAATGTATTTTGGAACTTCAGTTATATTTCATTTGAGCCGCCGAGAGGGTATAGTGGGTAGGGCAGCCTGACTGCGATACCGAAGGGCCCGGGCTTGAATCCCAGAGAAGGCATGGATGTAAAATTGTCTGTTCCTTCATAGGAAGTAGCCGTGGCCACCTGTTAGGTGTCCCCACAATGAAATGGCCACCACTTCTGGCCTTAGTAGTGGCCAATGCTGTTATAGAAAAGTGCCCACCATTGGAAAAAAAGAAAATTTGATATTTTAGAAAATGTCCCATCTTGTGTTTTAAAAATTTTTTGCAGTTTATTTAATTTGAATATAAAATTGATATTATCTTAACTTAGTTTAATCCAATTAAAATTTACTTATCCTGCATGATTTCTAGTTTATATCACGATCCCAAGAAAATAATTTTCTATGTTTTACAATTTTAATATACGAATGCCACTAAGAAACAGAGTGTTCTGATGATATATTTAATGTTGTTTATTTATATAAATGCAGTATTAATTTAGCTCTATTTAAAAGACCATCATGTATGTCATTAATTATTTTACTATTATCCTTCAAAATCTGCGGTTTATGCTACTTTATTCTTTGAAAATTCAGCATTTCTAATTTTTATAGCAAAGAGGGGAAAATATTAAATGTCATTAATTTAGAAGAATATGTAAGGAATTTTCTCCCTCCTTGCTGAGTACATTTGGAGGCATGTCCAGCTCGCATTCAAGAGGTTCGAATCCTGGTTTAGTATTGCTGACTTTTCATGCTTTCTGCTCCGAAATAAACCTTATCTTTACTGCTAAAATTCCAAAATTTAAGTTTAATTTGCTTAGCATTTAAAATATGAGTTATCTAGGTAATTCACTGGATTTTAAAAAAAGAATTTATAATGCAACAAAGTTAGATGGTAAATAATGTAGTAATGAGGTATATTTACATTGGCGAGGTAACTTTATAAAAATGGGCTCAAAGTACATTTTTTATAAGATTTTATCATTTAATCTTAATTTAAACACTAATTAAGTTAATTTTGCTGACAACATAGAAATGAAGAATTTTAAATTACTTGTTAATCAATACTCAACTGAAAACGTAGACATTTGCTAATTACAAACAGGAAAGTGATAATAACATTTTATAAAATGCGTAAGGCGTAATGTATTGTAAAACATTACGCCTTACGCATATTAAACATTACGTAAGAAATAACTCAATTTTCAAAACTTCAAAAAAATAAGTAATATTATTTTGCGCAATGAAGAGTAGAAATGCATTTTGCTTTCGTTAAAAGTTGTGCAATGTGTTGTAATGATTCGTACAGTTGAGAGGCCTGAAAGTAATATTTTTATGTGCAAAGGTAGAATACTGATTTGATCACCTCGCAGTCTTACTGTATTATTGTTTATATCTAATGAAGTATATATGAATGTATAATTATTAAATATATATTTACTGTTGCACGAAGACAATCTAGAGTCTATAAAAGGTAAATATATTGTACGTTTCAGTATGCATGAAATCTTAACACATGTGAAAACTTTAGTATCTTTTTAAGTCAGATGAAAGAAGTTTTAATTTCCCTCCGTGGCAGACAATATTTTACATTTCAATAAATTTTATTTTGAAATTATGTACAATAACTTATAACCGAAGATTTAAATATCTCCAATGAAATTTTCAGTACTATTTGCAATAAATATGATTTTGATTTATTGTTTAATCTAGAAAAATATAATAGTAATTCAATAATGCATTGTTTAATACATAGTAAATTGTGAATATTAATTCAGTTTTGTTTCAGTGACATTTTTCTTAAATAATAATAAATAATATTGGTTTTAATTTGAATAGCTTTCTAAGTCTTAGGATTATGTTAATAAATTTCATGCTGTATTTCATAAATTGTAATAAAAGAGTGAGCTTTATATAACAAAAGTTTTCCATATGAATTGCAATATTTTATTATGTTTGTTGTTAACATATGATACATTTGATGCCAAATAAAAATAGGGTAGTCAGTAGCTACGAACTGTCAGAAAAAACTCGTGTCATATTTAAAAATAATAATTAAAAAAACTGACTGCTAATCTGCTGCCATGGCAATCTAGATTTTTAGCTGAATAGCGAGTCAGCGATTTTAAACAGAACATTTAATAAATAGATGACTGATGAGTGTATTTCCTGCCGAGTTTTTAGTGCTTTTATTTTCTTTATTTTGCATACGTTTCATGAAATAGAAAGTGCAGGTAGCTTAATGATTTTAACTCTCAGAAAAGTAAAAAAAAAATGTTTACGTTCTTAAGAAAAAAACACTTTATAACCCCGTTTTTGAATTGCCATAGTCTGATGTCTGACAAGTTTGCTGCATGGATCTAAATAGTATTCCCGACATGTGAAGGGCCGACAAGTTTCTTATATCCGAGGCTAGACAGTATGCGTAAAGAAAACTTATTAGTTGAATTGAATCAAAACAAATACATAAAAGATAAAATACATAAAGATACATTTTACTGAATAATATATTCATACATGTAAAAACCAGAAGGTATTTCTGTGATTTACCTGAATATCTTAAGAAAATATAGTTTAACCATTTAAGGCATTTTACAGATCCATATGCTTCATGCATATTAATAATGCTATATAAATATAAACTTATTAATTTGCATTTTGCATTTTTAACAGTTTATATACGCATTAATAGTACTTATTTTCTTACTTCTACAGATTGGTGAACTTTATAATACGAAAAGAATTTATATGTCATCAAAAATTTTAATTATAAATATTTATTTAGATATATTTAATTGCATTTAATGTCGGGAACACCAAATAATATGAAAAGAAGAAGTAAATGAAAATAGTATAATATTTTATGCAACGGTTGCTGATTTAGTACCTAAATGCATATAGGTTTATTTTGCTTACTTATGAAAGATTTTAAATCCTGTTACCTACGAACTGGTTTAATATGTATTATATCTCATACCAGAAAATGGAAATTTACCTTTAATCTTTAAACGTATTAACTCCTGAGATTTTTAAAAAATTTAAATTTAAAAATATTTTTTACAAATATGTATTGATGCGTCTCACCTACAAATTTCACATCTATAGATTATTATGATAGATTATTATGCCATAGAAATGTTTTTTTTTTCTGAGTGCACTTAGTATTTTAAAAAGATGTAAAAAAAAGACTTGTAAGGTATTTTCAGTGATCTAAGTATCGCCGATATTATTTATAAAATGTTTGCCAATCTATGATTTTTTCTTTCCTTTTTGCTTAATTTTTAAATACATCTTAAAATTTTATAATTTAGAAGATAGCTGACAAAATATTTTAAAAGTTTTCTGTTTGTGGACTATGTATAAAAAATCGTCTTGTTTTCATTTATGAAACTGGTAAAGCCTTTTACAAAATATTAATATCACAACATATATCGAAGAGAAGGTATGCAGTCAACTGAATATAATCCAAGCGAAAAAAGTATTTGCATTAAAATTTAATATCCAAAACAATATTTCTTAAACAATAATTTGCTATAAATAAACCAAAAGTTTGAAACTAATGATATTCACTATTTATAAAATATTCTTATGTTAAATATATTTATTTATATTTAAAACTAAATTTAAATTTTTGAAAATTAATTTCTTAAAATTTTATTCGAGAAGAAAATTATTATTACAAGGAATTTTTTTTAAAAACTTTAATACATTTATTTATCTTTCCTCTATAACTGTTACTGAGCATTAAATATATCATATGTTTAGCTGTAAGCATTAAAAACCTAACTAGAACCTTGGTAGCTACGTTTTTATTCGACTTAAAATTTAAATCGACCTATGTATTTCGAGAAATTGAAGTATTGATTAAAATGGAAGTTTTTAAAAATATATAGAATTAATCACGATTTTAAGAGTTTTCCAGAAACTTTTTGTTGTATAAAGCAGCACTACATAGTGTACACATTAAAACTCATATTTTTTAATTATTATGTATTAGATTTTGATAATATCAAAAAACATACAATGCCTCCATTTTTGTACAAAAAAGTTTTATTCGGTCGTATTGTTAACAGTCAATAGGTTTCCAGTCATATGGTACCATCTTTTAGTATGAATATTTTAAATGCATGAATATATTTTTGTATTTGTGCCTCAACTGATTCTTCGCAATGTTTTATTCTTATGAAAACTAAAGTTTTTACTCGTTATTAAGAAATTTCAACTGCTCAATGTCTACTTAAGGAATATTTTTGTTGAAATGTTGTGCGTAATCTGTTATATAAAAGGTACGTTTCATGAAGTAAATGTGTCTGTATGAAAATCGTGTTACAGTCTGTTCTATCTTTGCATTTGTGTAGTTGCATATCAATGTTAAAATTTAGGTTATATTTATATACCATTTTTATTTAACTTTTAGCTTCCTTGTACATAAATTTATTTGGCATACAGTAAGTTCTTCTGCCCGTTTCTGAAATGCAGTTGACTACTCTAAGTTTATAATGATGAGTTCGGATTACAAAGATATGATTAATACTGAATAGTTTATTAAAAGGGCACTGCTTAAATGATTTCATTTATAATTCAGATCTTAATAAAATAATCTTTAAGTAATGAATAAACTTGAAATTTATCACTAAAACTATGACAACAGGCAAGGTTACTGTACTATAAGATTTACTCTCCACGAGCTAAGACGCTTTAGGCGTGTGACATCACTGACTCGTAAGTCTGCTGAAAAGCAACTGCTTCCTATTGGTATCGTTTTTCCCACTTCCCTAAGTCAAATGATGTTCTTGAACTAGAGCGTTGGAAAGAGCATCATAACCTTGCTTGCTTGTTGACCGTGCTAAGAAGATGAGTTTGCTGAACTCGGATTGATAACGCAATATATTTATCTCCTTTACCAACTAAAAACCTTCCGAGGTTATTTCTCTCTAAGCCCTAAAATATGTTGTTTTTTATTGTTCTTCAGCTGTAAATATGGTTTTGAGTGCCACATGTGGTTTCTAAGTCAAACTGACCGCAGAAACTCTGTAATGTTCTGTTATGAAATTAAAGCGTGCATAGTAGATTTCGTTAATTTCACCAAAGAAAAACGAATCTGCCGATGTAAAAAGACAAAATTAAATTTATGATGCATATTACTAAAATTTTGCACTTACACTATATAGTGCTTTCCAGATATTAATGAAAATGTCAAGTTAATTAAAAGTTATTTTCCTGCGAAATTTTGCTATATTGTTGGCCAGTAATATATATATATATATATATATATTCTTAAAAATTATGAAGATTAGTAATTCTGCATTATTCTTTTATTTTATTTAAATCAATATAATTTAAAAATTTTAATAAACTTTATGCGCCTAATTTTATATAGAATGAAAGACAAAGCACCCAGTATGAATATCTAAAAATCCGAATAACAAGAATTCTGGTGTACAAGAAAATTATTCCAACTTACCACTTTCATTGTATTAGAGTACAAGGCATTGCCATTAAAAACAGGCTCAAAATAATTATTACCAAGGGATAAAATTAAACTAGAGCTATTAGAAAAAAGGGAGATCTGAGTTTCGAATGATATTCTAACAGACAAGTGCTTGTGAGTAATTTTAATACATCCCCTTGTTTAATTTGTTTAATTGCAAGTTACGCAAGCCTGCATTATATTCCTTTGCAGAAGATGAACTGCTAAAAACGTGTTGTCTGATGTGCTGTGAATTCACATGTTGTGAATTTCGTATTAAATTCATCTTTAAAATTTTCTGGAGCATCTAGTCTAGTTCAAGCTGCTAAATTGATGTTACCTAAGAAGAAATAACGCAGATTTAGGTTCTAGTAATGACAACAAGCTTTTCAGAAACAGGCTCAACAGAATAATGATGCTTATTAGTTGAATAAACAAATATTTGTTTCTACTCATAATATAAAACTGCAACACATGCATATATATAAATACTAATTAATGTTTTTAAAACTAAACGGAAAAATATATATGCCCCCATTTAATATTTTAAAAAAGTGGTGAGTGAAGAAGGAAACTGACGAAAGTCATTTTTCGATGGTCAGGAAACTAAACCAATTACAATGATTGAAAACACTGCCGAAGTAACTTTGAGAAAGTTGGCAAAGAACGTTGTGTTCCATGTATGTTAGTCATAAAATACTGAAAGTAAATTCACTGTAATTTCAGAAAAGTTACAAATTTCTAAAATACAATGACAAATAATTTGAAAATCTTCGAAATTTAAGTAGTTTCTGATGAAAATAAATCTTTCTGAAATATTATAAAACATGTAGCAAAATATTTTACTTTTTTAAATTCCACCAGCATCTAAAATAATTCAATGTTTTATTAGAAATTACTGAAAACGCCAAACAATATTAAATTAATATTAGAACTGAAACTCATTGTTCTAGGGAGCTTGTCAGAAGTTAACATTCCTCAAGCATTTGTATGCTAAATGAAAATGCGAAAAAAGGATTGATGAGGCTTGTATTAGCAAGTACATCCCTGAAGTGATAAATTCATTGAAGTAAAATACAGAAGTATTAGTGTACCGTTCTAAGAAGATGCAGTCCACAATTACTAAGCAAAATGTCAACAAAATATTTTAAGGAAAACAACATCGCTTTTGCACTCTAAAATTTATCAGGCTCGTTCACGTAAATGTTTTAGTCTTTACTAAGATATTAGTGCATGAGAATAAAGAAAAAGCCATAAAAAAGAGAACGCTTTGGAAGCATTAATCAAAAAAGATAAAGGATATAGAGTTTGATCTATCTATGTAATGATGCAGTGTCTCAAAAAGGACTTGCGAAAGAATTGAAATAACAAGTCAGTATCTTAAATTTAGTAATGTGCGCACAATCTCAAGGACTCGGATGTTTTGTGTCCCTGCTTTACCTAGTAATAATACCTATAATATGGGCATTAATAAATACCAACTGAATAAGGATGCATCTGAAACCGCCGTTTCCAAAAACTTCTGTCGAATGGCGGTCTAAGTTTGCGGCTACTCTGTATGAAATCTATGTTTCAGTGTAGCATATGGTATACGGTCCAGTAAATTGATGCATATACAGTGCGTCGTTCGGTTTCATTTTATGTATATTTTGTTTGTATTCTCTGTTATTATTTATTTGAAATTTGGTAGTAGTATACTTCAAACTCATTTTTAATAAGTTCTTGTTTATGTTTTCATCCTTGGATACTGTAGCTTCATGACAAGTCAATAAAAATGTTTTTATTTCTTGTCATAGAAACAAATCTAAATCTAGTCTAATATGTTTTATAGAAACTGAATCAAAAGGTAATATGGAACTGAATGACACAAAATGTGTTTTTGTATAAAACTAAACTTGATTCAACTAAAATAACAGATTAAAAAAAGATCTAGCTTTCCTTTCAATAAAATAAAATGCATTCCCGAAGTTTATATTAATTCAAAAATCACTCAGACAAATGATTACTGTAATGACTTAAAAGAATGTTATTCAAAAGTTTCGTACAATTTTTCTGAAGCTAAAGTTACGTCATTAGAATAGCCCATCATTAGAAATTATTTTTATTTTAGGAAATCATTACACAGCTATGTCCGGAATGTAAACGGCGTGTGACAGCATAGAGGTACGTTTTGGCTAAAAAGCGTTAAAAAAACCTGTGTGATAATGGGCATTGCTATGAAGAAATAGCCTACACTCTACTCAATATTCTGGTTTTATATGGTGTGTTCTCTAAAACAGCTATTTCAGAATATCTACTTAAAATAGACAAGCAATTTTCATCCAGTTAAATGTTGATTCTATCGTTAAGTGTTATGAAAGGTAATGAGGAAAACTGAAATCCTGATTTCGATTTTCAAATTTTTGGTTTCCACTTATCATTTGCTGTTTCAATTTATGATTATGCCGCAGTATCTTGTTCTCTTGCAACCATATTATTCAGAAAATGTTGGCTCCTTTTAAAAGTAATAATTATGTCCTTCCACAAGTTAATGAGATAAATGAATAGCTTGATTTTACTAACTTCCTAAATAGTTGCCCAGAGATATAAGTTTGACAACAAGAGTTCTTAACGGAAGAGTCCCTTTATAAACTTTTGCTGATTCTTAGCTGATAGATAACAGTGCTGTATTTTGCCACAAATAATCTGTCTCCATATAAAAATACCGCAATATACATTTCAAAGCTACAATTAATATTTTAATTAAAATCGCAGTTAAAGTACTTACACTATCAATCATATTACTGAATTTTTTATGCATTGTTATTGGAATCATCTGAATTTATATATGGCTTGTAATGACATTTTTAACTTACATATACGAAAGTGACTTTGATCTGGAAAGCATTAAACATGCAGAATAACTGCGATATTATAATTTCATTATGTAAATCATTCAATAACTCATTATGTTATGTAAGAAGAAATGATACATAGATATTGCTTTTATACTGGAAATATGTCTCCTAGCGTTATGTATTCTAAATTCTCTAACATGAAAGCTTTATTTGCAGTTATTACATGTTACCTTCCCAATTAATCTCAATCTTGTTCTTTGAATAATTGGTCCGTTACGTTAAATAAATATATTTCAGTTAAAGGCATAGTTATTTTCCTTCAAATAAAACTATGCTGAATAAGTAATTATTAACCATTCGTTTCTATACTCACGATTCATACATTTTCCTTTTAAAAGATTTAGCTACAATCTAGGTACTCTTACATTGATTTTCATAAGTTTCACAAGCAATATCAAGTGAATTCAGAAAAAGTAAAATATGTAGAAATGAAAAAAGAATTATAATGTGAGAGATTAGAATATTTTTTTTATTATTTTGCTTAAAGAATTTTATTCGTATGTATTTAATTGTTCCAGTTAAGATTGAAATTGTCGCCGAACCGAAATAGGTCAGATTTAAATTAATTATATCTAAAGCTGTTTCTAAAATAATATATTCCTGCTTTATCATATACATTTATTCCTATTCCGTTATCGATATGTTCGCTTTTTGATTAAGATTATTTATTTCCATTATCGAAAGTTCTTCCAAGCGTATTATTCCAGCTACTAGAAAAAATTTAGGCATAGTTGTCTTTATTGAAATTTTTGAAAATTTATTCCATGTTTTGTTCCTTTCAGTTTTAGACATACCTCTATTAAAATGATTTAAAGCGTTATTATTTATCATATCTGCGTCACGTTTTCCAAGTATTAATTAACCTTTGAAGATTTCTGAAATTTATTATTACTTCTCTTTTATATTCACGCTTATGAGCTATTCTCACAACAGATATATTTTATTGTATATTTGTTATCTATATACTTGGAAATTAAAATGTCTTTTTACCATCATCGTGATGAAAACCAGATGAATTATTAATAAAGTTATAGAAAACTTTTCTTAACTACAGCCGAAATTTAAGCGAATGAATTCAATTAATTATTAAAATAATGAAAAGTAGAATAAAAATAACTTTCATGATTTAAAAAGGCAGTTTAATAACTTCATAAATTCTAATAAACAACAATTCAACTAAAATTTTAATAGCTATGAAAAATTTATAATTAAAAAAATTAGATAAATAACTGAAATAATAAAAGCATAATTAACACATAAAAAGGTTTAATTAAGTGAACTAAACGAAATGAATGAAACAAATTTCCAAACATATCTTCTTGTTTGTTGAAATCCCCCTATTCGTTTTTCATTTCCACCAAAAAAACTATTTATCCAAAGTAGAAGATAATGGCTACAGTTGCTATGATATTTGATCTGCATAATACTTAAAAGAGAGATACTGTAATTGAACCAAAATAATTTTTTGGTTCCTATATGATAAGCTCAGATGCACAATAATTAATTTAATTTTCTTTTACTAAACAATGTATTTATTTTATAAAGCTATTCAATGAATCATGTATATTGATTTCAATAAAACTCTTTTAATTTGTAGTGTGTTATTATCAATAGTTTGTTAGTAGATTTCTGTTAGTACTTAAAACTGAGTTATTTTTTAGATCAGAAATTTTCATTTTAAATCATATTCTCAATAGATGAAAATATTTTTGATACTCAAGTATAATATTTTAGAGCAATGCACTTGAGTCTTTAATCAACTGCATTAAAATTACCTTTCATGCTTAACAATTTTAAAAGGCATCATATATAGGATAATTCATTATTCCCTCGGATGTTTCAAAAGATTTTGCTGCAAGTAAGTATACATAAATAGTTCCTCCAAATTTGCAGTCTAATAAATTAACTGTAGACTATATCGTCATCAGAATTTATACATTATATCGCCATCAGAATATTAGGTGGCAGTATACTTCAAGCTTAATACTCATTGGTGATCGGCAAACTTACTGAATTTTAGAGTCGGTTAAAAACATAAGACGGTTGTGACATTACAGTATAGATTTCATACACATTATCTAGCAGAATCACAAATATACAAGTCATGATACATAAAATTCAAAGAGACTGATTGCTAATTATTGTACTAAAAATTTTCGAAATCCCAGAGATAATGATGTTTAAAGCAAGACTGTAATTTCAGCAATTCGAATATTCCTATAACAATACCACAGTTCAGTTTTTAATTAACCAAGCAATTTGTGACAGATCAGGTTTATAACCTCTACAGTCATAATTAGTTTAATGTTGTTGGAAGAAAAGATGATGTTAAAAAAAAATGTTCTGATTTGAAACTAATAGGCACTATTAGTCGGCTGAAAGTTTTCATCAACAGCAGAACTTCAAATAATCTGGACTATTTAGAACAATTATACAACTATGTATCGAAAACTCCAAAAAACTGAGTTGTTCTTTTAAGAACCTTTGTTAATTATAATAATGCTGCAAATTTTTATAAAATTTATGTACTGTAAAGTAAATGCATTTCAAGTTATGTTAATTAGCTACATTATAAGAAATAAAAATTTTATGTTAATAAGATGTGTAAATAATTTTAAAGTGTTTAATTTCTTCATTAAGAAATCACAGATTGATTACATTTGAGAAATTAATCAGCCAAACGTTGAGAATTGGCTACTTGCGAGAACGCGGGGGAAAAAAATTGAGAAATGTCTTATGCCTTGTATGATGACAACTTACTAATTTTCGAGGACAATAAACTTATAGCTGCATAATGTAGCATAAAACTTCTCAATTTTAAACAAGATTTGCGCTAAAGATTTCTAGCATCAAAATACAAAATAAATGCTCATAATTTACAACAAAATTGTTTAAGTTTATTCAGAATAGAATGATCCGCGTAACTGTAATTCTGGGTATCTAGATTTGTATAATAGATATTTTATGGTATACATTAAAAATTTAATTCTGAAGTAAAAAGGACATTTCTCCTTTTAAAACCGTAAAAGCCTTTTAATTTTATCACATTACTTCATAATTATTTAATTAAATTAATTATTTCAATTACCACATAATTAATTAATTAAGAATTTTATTTACCACGCATTTACGTTAAAGATACATTATCTAAAAATATTCTTGTTTTAAAGTTCGATTATTTTTTAGGCTTTTTGTGTATTTGAACACTTAGGATACGCAATTGTATTCATTAATGAGATTCAGATAGACTTTGTATGAAGTATTCTTTCGGGTGTTAAAAAATATGATATTTCATGCTATATTTGCTTAAGTAAAATTTAGAAAGTAAATTCATTGTTTGCTAATTTGAGTTATTTTCTACATTTGTTTTAGTTATGTAAAACCATCACGGTGTGATTTAAGGAAAGTTTATATGAAAGAAGAGTCAACTTATGTAAAAATTTCATTTATGGGCAGTTTTTTACTCAAATTTAGCAACTTTTTACTTATTATAAAATCTTAATGGAGTGTCATTATCGGTTTCTTTCCTTTCTTATACAGATATGAAAATCATTCCACGCATATCATTCGTTTGAAGATGAATTTTAACGGTATCAAACCTATGTCGACTTTTATCGCTTTTCTCCGAAAGAACATAGAATTTCTAATATCAACGCTTTTCTTAAGCATTCCACAGGAAAATGGGTGATAACATAAGTGTCACTGAAATTAAGAGGTTCTGAGTTGTAAAATTCTTTGTGATATAAATATGATCTAAAATATTCACAACATTTATTAAGACACTTACTCAACTTATCAAGTTTGTGACAAAGTGGCGTATGAACATTCATTAATCTTACTAAATAAAACAATTATTTATTTATTTATTTATTTTTGTGTGTGCGTGTCATTAACCTCGTGTTTCGGATTATTTCCTTGTGTGTTACACGTAGAACCAATTTTGTAACACTGCCCGTCCAGCCCAAAGTAAATTTCGCTTCAGAAGTTCTTAATGGGGCAGTGGTAGAGTTTCAAGTTGAAAGGTCAAGGTTATAACCAAACTGGTACTCGACTTTTGCTTTGGATAAGCTCGCAAATCTCATAGTTTGATTCTTAGTAATTCTGAGCGTTCTTTGTCTGAGAGGAGTATCAGATTTCAAATTTTGGTTTCTTCTTACGCTTTAGTTTGACTTCCTTTTGCAATTCACGTTTTGCTTATAATTGGGAGTAAGTTATTACAAGATGTTCCTTCGATTCTTACCGGATGTTTAACTTCAGAAAACAAAATCTGCAATCTACCTTTTAAATACGTATTTTCGTAAACTCACTAATTTGAAAAGACGCTTTACTTACTCCCAGCTGCTCAGTACCAAACACTACAACTGACTATACGTTTTGATTACATTATAATATAGCAGCATTACAATAAACCACTCCAATATTCTCAGCAATAGTCCTCACATTCAAGTCCTGGAATAGACTGAGTTTCTTCATGACTGAGGCTGACAAATGTAAGACTCGATAACTTTTACTCTCATTTACCCATCCATATTTAAAAACGAACTGATATACCTTATATCAACTAATTTATGAAATATTCGGAATGTATAGCATCAGTTGCTGTCTGATAATAATAAGTAAGGCATTCTAAAAATGTTACCTTTTATTGTAATTTTTAGAACACACTGTAGGCAAAATTATGTAATATTTTTCATGAGTTTCCTGAATTGCGATCGAAATACACAGTATTTGCTACAGGCCATATACGCCGCAACTATCTGAAATAAACTCCATAAATATATGTAAAGTCCTTTGCACATTCTTAGGAAGATTAGTAGAATCTTCTAAATATGTCTGTGTACTTTCAATCACAAGATAGGGATTTCTTCCATTAATTTGGTTAATATATAAGGGTAAGCAAATAGCTAAAGATATGAAACTGTTTACTTTTTAAATACAGTAAGTTCTAGCATTTAGCGTCATTTCAAATTTTGCATAATGTTAATATTGATCTGCATTGCTAAAACGCATGGATGACTACAAGGTCTTCAGTGATACATGCTCACTGACACTTGATAATTTGGTTTATTTAATTATGGCAAAGCAGTCGAGGGCTATATACCTAAGGGAAGGGATGCCTTCGTGGAATTTCTAAGGGAAACTGGTTCGTACACCCATTGCACATGGGAAAACCACATAAACGCCCATGTAGCCAGGCGGTTCGCCAGGAATCGAATCCCGGACTGAAATAACAATGTTGGAAATTATAAAAGTATATAATAAATTCAGCAATGTTGATTTATGGATTAAAAATATTCCTTTTTTGGGGAGGACGACATTTTGATTCGGCATTAATTATATAAAATTTTCTGTTAGTGAAGCTAAAATTTCATTTTATGGCTAATGATTAATGATAACTTAAGCGGAAATTAAATGACATTAGATCTGTGTTTCATAAAGGCAAAACAGAGTCCTGAAAATAAGAGATTGGGATATTTTGATGATGGGTTAATGTAACAACATCGTATAGTCACCGACATACGTATTGAGAACACCGTATGTCAAAAAAGTTTTCTGGAAGTACGCTGGAAATTGGCTGTCAGGATGGCTTGATGTTGGGCGTTTGAAGCAGTGTATAACTAATAAAGTAGCCTGGGCATTTCTACGATATTCTGAAAAGGAATGAATTAAGCGACTTTGATGCCGGATATTATATAATCCACAGTGTATCCTAGACATACCTAGACCTTTCCATTATGATGGAAGTGGGTGTTTAAGGTGCTTTGATCCTGGTCATATAGTAATTACAATAACGGAGCTGTAAAAACCTATCATTTGTACAACATAAATTCAGCTTTCAAAAACAAATTTTAAATATGGATAGAAACCAGAAAATGCCGAGAAGATATTTAAGAAATATTTTGATGGTAATAACTATTCAAATGTAATTAAATATGTAGATTTAAATTGTTTAATAAATCCTGTACTTAAAGATATATTTAATTTGGTTTACAGTCTATATTGGAAATGTATTAGTTTGGTTCATGTCGAAACGTACCTTATATGCATATTTGCTGTGAAAACAAAGCATCATTTTTCTGTGTATTCCTTGCTTGAGACTCTCAAACTTCTCTGCCATATATTTACAACAAAACAAGAGATAAAAGACATAGTCTAGTCTGAAACTGCATTGTAATTATTGTTATAAATAAATATATTGTGCTACATGTTTCTTTTGTCGTTTTGTCAGTTTTGCATTTTTTCTTAAAGCATGTGTATAAAGACGACTAACTTTCAATTTCAAGCATAATTAAAAAGTTGGGTTTTCATTGAAATTTAAGCGTATTTGTAAAATAGAGTACTTGCAAATATCATATTTTCCTTCTTCGTTGTTAGCATTTTCATAGTTAAGAAAGGGTTAACCGAACTTAAACAATTCTACTATTCACAAGCACCGATATAGTAGATTTATTAGAATAATGCACTGCCAGACATAGAAAATGCAACATCATGAACAATTGGATTGAATGTGATGTCTATTGATGCATAAACGGAGAAAGCATATTTAATAAGTGATGTTATTTACTGAAAGATGAATTTATACAATGCTGAAATATACACGGAATCGGTAAGACGTATGATCTCTTTTCGCGGCTATGCAAGCTGCAAGCGTACCAGGTACAGCTTCAGTTAGTGAGCGGATAGTGTCCTGAGGGATGGAAGGCCATATGTTCGTTCTAAATCACGTCCTAGATATGTTCGATCAGCGAAAGATCAGGCGACACTGCAGGCTAAGGAATCAATAAGACATACTGCAAGGCTTATCAGCTAACGAATATTTTGTACGGTATCGCGTTGTCCTACTGGAAAAATCCATTTCGCAGCCGCTGAAGGTGAGCTAGCACAACCGCCTACAGCACCGCATCAACATATTGCTGTGCTGTTACCGTGCACCCGATGCGTAAGAGGGGTGACCTGCTGTGATGACTAATGGCACCCCAAATTATTATGCCAGGCTGACGTGCGCTGTGGCATTCAACAATAGTAGTCGGATTGGTGCTGTAAAGAGGACCGTAACCTCAGAGTAGTCGGACTAGTCCTGTCTCCACGACGCCTGCAGACTCTTAAGCCGGCGACTATCATAAGACATACAAAACTGAGACTTGTCGCTGAATACCACTTTGTGCCATTCAGATGTCCAAGTGCCGCGTTGATGACTCTCATTGCAGCCTTTCGCGTCGATGGTTTTGACTTAATAGTCGCAAAGGGTGGCATGTATGCAAACCGCTTTCAATTAAACGTCGGGGAAACTGTTATCCCAGACATTGCAGCATTCCCAAAACTCCCGCTTCTTTTCGTGCGTCGATCTGTGCGTTTTGTAGTACGACTATTTATGTACACGTGACTATTTACATTTTCTTCATCGATCCATCTAGACCAGCGATTCTCAACCTGTGGTACATAAGAGAAAAACAGGTGGTAGGCAAAGAAACAAAGTAATTAAAAAAGTATTTTTAACGATTAAATTAAAAAGTCTCGTGAACGAAAAGAACAAGTGGTAGAAATTTTTTGTGATTGAACTCTAAATGAAGCTTTCAAAAATAACACGCTTATTAACCTTCGGCTAAACTGAAAAAAAAATTAAAGGCATTGAAAATAAAGCTATTAAATTTTATTTTCTGTTTGCACAACCTATTTGTGTGAACAAGGATTTTCTTCCATGTTATATTTGATAAAAAATACACAACAAATTTAAAAGTGAATCCTAATTTAAGGTTACAATTTTTAAGTGAAATATGATCAAACATACCTAAACAGGCGAAAATTTCACAATAAATTTTAGAATTAAATATTATAACTTGAATTTTGGAAATTAAAATGGTAACCAATTTTTAATCTAATATTTTTATATGCGCATATTTAATACAAATAGCCAACAGGTTGTTAAAATGGCAAAATATATTTTTTTAATATGTCTACTGAGAAACTGAAAAACAATCATTGTAAAATGTAGTGGCGGTACCAAAGTTTTTCAGTTTTTGTTTAGAGGTTGAAAAACCTCTGATCTAGACCAAATTCTATGCACAGTGGATACATCTACGTGCTTTTCGCCAGCGATACGTTGGTAAGACCAACCAGCTGTAGTTTATAGGCCTACAATTTTACCCCTCTTAAAATCGTCCATTTTCTGAAACTACCCACGGTGTTGTCATCCACGCATTTCTTCATTCACACAAGTCTTCTGGATCGCTAAACTTCTTGAAACTCTCGATTCCCTAAGCAGCAGAGTGTAGCGATTATTGGTTCGTCCGGCCGTTTCTTTCCTTTCTATCTCGCGCTATAATCATGTGACCAATTTGTATCTTACATCATCTGTATGACTTGTTTCGTTACGTATTCCCCAAAATTTTTATACGGCCGAATTTTCACGGTGTTGCATTTTCTATGTTGAGCTATATAAATATAGTATACATTCAAACACCTAGATTAAATGAGAATGCATCCAGTCCGGGATTATCGAGCATATTAACAATTTCGAATATAATAGTAACATAATAATTACGATCATAATAATGCGAACAATTAATTTTTTGTGTCTGTGTAGATCATATCATATTTATGAAAATGCAAGTGAAAGCATTTTATGTTTTATCACAAGGAAAAGGATGATGTTAAAATTATTTTACTTTTAACATACATACTTTATGTAAAAAAAGAATAACAAACACACATTTTTCGATAAAATTAAAACGTATTCCTTTTTTTCTTCAGATTTCTTGAACTGCACAATTGTTTTTCTTTTCAACTAATTTAAGCAATACAATTACTTTGTAGCGTAGGAAGGCCGAACTAAATAAAAATAGTAATGTTATTGTATACAACATGCATCATCGTTTTCATTAATGTTCAAAGATTATTGATTTGTTCAGCATTGCAGTTCATTTGTTCAGCATTGCATTCTGCGCGTTGAATTTAAAATGAATTTAATAGCTACTTGCAAAAATATGTATGTACTGGGATAATATATCTGTATTATTCAAATCATTAAAATTTAAAAACATGTAAGCAAATGAAAAACAAGCTTAATTTTTTGACTTCACCTAAAAAGAAAAAGGCGACATAGATAAATTTATTACGGAATGTCTGTAGTCCATATATGACTGGAGCTTTGTTGTATAACTAAAATTTTAATCATAATCAGAAGTTGCTGTTATTTCAGATTATAGTCCACATGCAACTTAATAAATTTCTCGGGAATGGAATCTAGAACTTTACCCATGGTGCACCGAAACGGGTGCACAATTTTGCTTTCGCGAGAGTGGGGAAGTAGAGTTCTAGATTTGATGGGTCATATCATAGAATGATGGATCCGAAGGCTTTCCATCCCTGTTTTCTTTCCCCTACAACTTTCAGGAGTACAATTCGCTACTATTTAAAGTGCTCCCGTGACGTATATACAATATATGCACTTACAATCTTCCAAACATTGTCCATAATTCGAAACCGAGCCCAGTGATATGACAGTCAATAGAAGAGCTAACTGCTGTACTGAGCAGGCCTGCAAATCAGAATCTATATTTGCATGATGTATCTTTAGCATAATACGTAATGTGTAAGCATAATGCATTTTATTTTTCATACATTTTTTATACAATAATATTTGCAATTCTAACCAAGAACTGTAGACATCACCAGTTTTCCGACGATTCAGTTTTGGAATCCTTTGTATTTATAATTACCATCCATATACTCGACACAATCTCCGCTCTTAAGTCTTATGCTGTCAAGTTTTGTATATTTAAATGTAAACTTTTTACGATCTGATACGTCTAGCAGTTAGCGTTGCTGGCTGCTATGCTGTTAGCTTATATTCATGTCCCAAAGAAAGCTTAGATGTTTGTAAATATAATAATGATTTTGCTGCATGGAGGAACTTGAAAACAGACGGCGGACGGGAAGTCCTCTCGAGTGTAGAAAGTAAGAAGGGTGAGAGATCCTTGAACTGTCTCCTCTCCTGGGGAACTCTCCTTCAAAACTGAGATACTGTTCTATTACTTCTAAGATTCCCAACGGCCATGCAGCGAAAAACGCAATCGTTGGCTCCTCGTCACGATAAAATCCGTAAATTTGTTCTGATCTCACTGTAAGTGTTCGAGATTTGCAAGAACTAACCGTTCTTCTTTCTCCTAATAAACTTAAAATAACTTTATATGTAAAATTCCAAAGCGACATATTTATTTTCAAAATCCGTAGAGCTACAACAAAGTTTACATGGTTGCCACTCTTTCAGTAACAAACTATGAAAAGAAAGATAACAACTGAGGCTGGGTTCTAACAATACTCCCATCTTTTGATTGATGACATATCAAATCAAACAAAACAATATATAAAAAATACTGTCCACACAAATATTAAAGCTAAATAGTAAAAAAAAAGAAAAAGTTTTTAAATTTCTACTCTAAAATAACTCAAGTTAGTGTTCAGGGTAGAAATCTAGATGGCATTTTAATTTGTCATCCACTTTTAGTCACGACAGTCTTAATGTCCATTTATAAATCTGCAGCTGAATTATTCTTTGGTAATTTTGAGACTAAACTGCCTTCACCCTGCGTCTCAGTTTCATTTGAATCATCTGACTCCAAAGATGAAGGTATTTCGAGAGGGAATATTCTCTGGATTGATCGGAACTAATTCTCCTAGACATGGATTTTGACATGAACTACTCGAATGTTGCCGTCTTTCCCAAGACTATAGTTAAATCACTTTTGTTAGAGGCCACAACACCTTGCGTTTGTCATCACAGTCGATAAGAACTATATCCCCGACTTTTATCTGTAGAGAAATCGGCCTTGTAGATGGGCGTTGCACTAGCAGCCCGAGATATTCGTTTCTAAATCTCTTTCTCAAGAGCTCTCGCAGATTCTGTAGATGTCTCAGTCTCTTGTTGAAATCAGCTTTATCAAGGTGATCCAAGTCAGAAACTCCAAAGACTGGAATTTCACCTAAAAACAAGGACGGTGTCAAAGGGATGAGATCTTCAGAGTCCTCTGACACATAAGTGAGTGGTCTGGCATTCGCAGTTGCTTCACAGTCGCACAGCACACTCATCAATTCTTCATAATTCAGACACGACTGGCCTAGGACTCGACCCAAAAGCTTCTTAATCATTTGAAGAAGTCATTCCCAAAAGCCACCCCACCATGGTGCTGCGGGTGGACGGAA